GAAACACAAGAAGGTGTAAAGAACCCTTATTCTGAGGCCACAGTGGCTGCCTGTCTGTTAAATCTAAGATGACAGATTTATTTACTGAAATCCAGGACCAACACAGTAACCCCTTTTGTTGTGCATGTTGTGAACAGGGATATTTGCTCCCCACAGCTCTAGCAATATTCATACCTAGAAACAAAGTATTAAATTTAAAGCATGGCAGCCAACGATATTCTTGCCATCTTCTGTTTATTATGAAATCTTTTTCCCCATTTGCTAAGGCATTTTTCTTATTTAAACAAATTCCATGGTGTCAGCACACCGTGCTCTTTGCCTGCCTGACCATTGCTAGGTGTGGACCTGCTTGAAGGAAGAACTCCTTAGTGACAGATGTTGGGCACTAATGAAACATGAAAACACCTGCTCATCACAACATTCCAAACCTTCAGTTTTGCATTTGGCACTGTGAAAAAAAGGTAAGYGTAAAACTCAGTGTCAAATGTTAAGTGCAAAATTTAAAGAAGAGCTGGAACCTCTGTTACACAAGATATTTTTTGGTGTTACAGGAGAATAAATTTCAGTAACAATGAATGTTACAATATGCTCATGTAGCTACCTATTTCAGTTGGAGTTAAGCAGATGCGAATAATGTGTTTTTGAAAATCCAGTGGACTCACTTTGTACTTTTACTACTTAGTAAATTATATAGTTTTGCAGAAATTGGCTCTTAGCTCCTGAATGAGAATATCTTTTCCATTACTTATTTTTCCTTCAGATCTGTCTTGAAATGTTCAAAATTCTTTTTGAGTAGTTGTGAGGTGGCTGAACCAGTGTCTGAAGAAAATCTGCTTTTTCCATTTTTTGTCCTCTTAGAAGCAGGKTCCCTTTAGAAATATGACCTTTCTGAATATTCAAATATTTAGAATAAGGGACTCTGAGACAATGKAGAAGAATGGTCTAAATCCTTAAGAGCATGCAGTAAAACACAGCCTTTTTTTAGATTTACTAAATTAGCAGAGGAACAGTGAGACAACACGACACATGTGAGGCACTGAGGCACCAGGCTTAAGTGTCTGAGAGGACAGAGCTGGTGTGGAAGTCAGCAAGGTCAAGTCCAGTCAATATAAGCAGCTAAAAATGAGCTGAACTTCACTGTTCTGGATGTCCTTCTGGGCTCTTTCAGACACACATGCATTGGATATTTGTGTGTGTTTGACCATGTGTGCATGCAGCTCCTCCCTGGGAATGGAAGACAGGAAGAGATGGGGAAGAAGGACACACATTTGTTCAAAGTTTCCTTTCCTTGCCTGAACTCTGCCACTTTGGGGTCTGACAGGTCAGAGGCTGAGCACTGAGGAGTAGGAGCACATTGTTTAAACTCCCCACTGAACAGTTCCTGATGGAAAACATTCACTTCTCCCCCACCTCAAGACAAATTGCTTTTTAATGTGCACTGTCCCTTCCAAATAGATTTCCCCCCTCCATYTACAAATCACCTTCAGAAGAGCCAGATTTACTGCAAGATTTGTCACTAACACATAATTTTTGCTAACTAGAAAAATATTAAGTRTATTTTAAAGTTAGACTTTAAAACATTAGACATGCATCTGTTTTTTCTTTGGTAAATAATGATTTGCAGGAGAACCTGGACTGAAATGCCAGATCCYTTTCTGTATTAGGGAAGCTGCTGTGCTGACCTCTTTTGCTTTAATATTAATTAAGTTGGTTAGAGGGAGGTTGCTTCATTGCCAGGTGCTGTGTAGGGTTCAATTCCCCTTAGTAACTCCCATTTCAGGGCACCTAAGTGTCCTTAGTGTAGGGCTTGACTGGGTAAGACAGATGGGTTTGGGATTTGCCTGGGAGGTTTTTGATGTGAGATRTAGCTTGTGGTACCTTCAGGTGACTGCTTTGACCCTGAAGTTGCTCCAAGCTTATTCTGCCTTACCTCTGGATGTCATTCTGAGCCAAGGACTGGCTGAAGTGTCTTTGCTTTGTGTAAACTAACCCAGGTCTAAGCCTGGGGACGTGACACGTGTCCACACTGCAGTGACATGCAGTTCCAGTTCAAAATATTTCAGTGGGTCACTCACAATGATGGAGTCGCATCTGTGAATTTTTTCAGGATCAAGCCCTAGATCTGTGATAACAGGTTATAAATGGTGGACAGCAGTTGTGAATTTTAAAATAGATTTAATTGTATCTTCTTATGTTTCATTGTTTGTCTCTGAAAGCTTTCCAGTAGCTTTCATAGCCCTTCCTAAAATCAGATGTGATGAGGTACGGCTGGATTTCAAAGTTTAACTACCCAAAACCGTGTCAGGGTTTTCTATCTGCCTCTCTTTTTAAACTGGAATGCAGTGCAAGTTCACAGATTTGACAGTTTTCAAGGCTGGGAGGAGTTTGTGAGATTCTAGAACTGGAATGGAGTGGAGTGATGGGGCTAAACATCCTCTGAGGTGGGACATGGTGGCACTGGGGACGTGCAGGGCTGGGGTTCTGCTGCTGCCACATCCATGATACAGTGCCCTCCCTATTTCCTTACAGCCCTTCCAGACCAGCAGGAATACAGGGAACAGCTAAAGGTGAGTAATAAACAAGGGGCATTGTATGGTGAGTATCTTCAACTGTGATATGGAAAACCTTCAGATGGGAACTGTGGCCAAGGGATGAGGGAACTAAAGCCTGGGTTTTGTGGAGACCAAACCCTTCATGACAACCACCAGGGACTGGAGCCCAAAGCTGGACTGGTGACAGAGCCTTGGGAAGAGGACACACCACAGGAAGAAGAGTTGGATTCAAGTAAGATATAAGCTCTCTAAAAAAGCTAAAATATAAAAAAGCTGAAGCTGTCTGAAAAAGCAGAAATATAATTCAGGTTTTCTGACCTAAGATAAGCAGCACAGTTGCTYTGGGGGGTGCCTGCTTGCTTTCAGAAGAAAAAGGGCCATCCTACCTCAGCACATCCATGCTGTGGGATCAGATGTTGTTGCCTGGTATAGTTGCACAGGCAGCAGTCTGGGGGTTTAAATTCCTATCTGTTATCCCTCTGACACAAATGGCAGAGGTCTCACAGCAACAACAAGCCAGGATATTTTAACTGGCAATATTGACAGAGACAATTTATAGTCTATTGTGTGAATGCAGCTGCTGAGCATTCATATCCTGCCACCATCCTGGCATTCTTGACTTTATTTTTGACAAAGGGTGTTTAACCAGGAATACCTTCATTTTTCAGCATAATTTATATCTTGGCTATTTGCATCTTTTCTCTGTTGCCTTTCTCCAGCTTTCCTTCCTTCCTTCCCGTGCTTCTCACACACACATATCATTGGTTAAAACAAAAAAAGCAAAAGAAAGTGTTTGTGGGAGAGAAATGAAGCTAAAATCATCATCACACACCATAAATAAGACTTGATAACAGAAGAGACGTCTGTTTGGCAAATACTTCATGTAAATCAATTCTGAAACCAAGAAAATTCCTGTATTTACTACTGCAATTAATAATCTCTTCATGCAGATAACAGAGAAAGAGTTTTGAAGGGCCATCATTTCCAACCCCACTTTTAGGGAGGAACTTTTTAGGGTTTACTTAGGATGGGGCTTACTACAGAGAGGACACTCAGTGTGTTCTGCCAAGACATTGCAGAGCAGAGAGCTGGGGAGAAAGTCTGTGCATTTATATTTTACTTTATAAAACCATTTGTTTTACCATTTATCCAAGTAARATGTGTTCTGTCATAAAGCCCAGCCCGGCTGCAGTGCCCTAAGTGGTTCAGAATTTCCCTATGTCCCAAAACTGGCTGAACAGTGGTTGGAAGGCTGTGGTAGATCATTTTCCCCAAGGTAATCTGGGAGAAAAGTGAGGTGAGGAATGAAAAGCTGAGAGTGTTATTTTCATCCATGTTTTTTTCCTGGGGTTTTTCTGGGGTACAGTAACACAATGTGCAGGACCTGCTGTGCATTTGCACCTTGCAGTCAAGGATCACTGACCCTGCGGGCATCCTGCTCCAAAGGGGAGCTCCCTCCACCTCTCCTGAGGGGCTGCTGGGTGTCAGAATGCTGATCAATCAACCCTAGGATCTTGTCAGTGATGTCCAAGCAGTTTTAGTGACCAAGCAGCTTMGTACCAAGCAGTTTCAGCAGAAAGGATTGATATAAATTAAAAGTGACTTATGGCATCTTGAAAAACAGCCCCACCCTTAGGATTTTTATTTTTTAAAGCTTCTCCTGTTTTTCATCTTGCCTGCAAGGGGGTTCAGCCTGCTGGCTGTCTCAGCACAGAGGAGAATTTGGTGTCGCTGTGATTGACAGGGCCATGGCATTCTGTCAGGGAGATTTTGATTTAGAAACCGAATGGTTTTGGGAAATTTCAGTGGGAGAGCTTCCAGTGACCTGAACCGAAGCTGCCTTTCAAACACAGGGATGCTCAACCTTTTCTATCCCCTTTCCTTCCCTTATCCATCTGCARTTCTTGTGGGGAGACAGAGAGGTCTCTGTTATTTCCTGCTCCATGCTATTTTTTTCCTCTCTCCCTGTCCTTCACCACTGAAGTATCTCAGCAATGCCAGGAGGCTGGAATGCCCYGGGAGGGTAAGAATAGTCCACAATGGCACAGTTCACTCCTGTTGTTGTTTGTCCACTCGCAGTTGCCTGGACAGAGGATCCACACAGAGGTAGGAGCAACTGGATCTGGCAAGATAGAGCTTTTGCAAGACAAACTGTTAAAGCTTGAAGATTTATTCCAGCGTTCAAAACTAAGTCCTGTTCAAATCATCAAAATAATCCTTTATCAACCCATTGTTGTAGCCAGATTTCTGTCCTTGACCCTTAGCAAAATTTCCTTCCTTTTTGTTTTTTTCTTCCTTTTTTTTTTTTTTTTATCAACCCATTGTTGTAGCCAGATTTCTGTCCTTGACCCTTAGCAAAATTTCCTTCCTTTTTGTTTTTTTTCTTCCATTTTTTTTTTTTTTTACTCCTTTTCTTCCCTATGTAGGTCTAATCTCCTTTGGAAATGACAAAATTGTCAGGACATCAGGAGCTGGAAGTGTTTTGAGCCTGTTCAAACATGGAGCACTGGGACTCGCTGGGATTTTTGATTGTCACACTCAACTATAATGTGACTATTGTAGGTAAGTACTTCAAAAGAGCTCTCTTCTTTATTTTGCTGCATCATATCCTGAATCCACCCAAGTGTCCTAYTGATAATCAACTTTAATTTCAGGCTCTGATTCTGTGATCTGTACAGTAAGTTGTTATCTTGATACKTGATAGAATATGTTAATATATCTCTTGTTAAACAAATTACTTCTCCCTCTCTGATAGATTTTTCATGAACTTGGCATAAAATAATCTGGCAAGTCTTTCAAATTTGCCTTTTCTTGATGACAGAGCTTCCTGTCAGCTGGAAGTAGGGATCATGGTAAAACCACGCAGAAGTAACACTGAACTTATACCACATAAAGTGAATGGTAGCAATAGCTTTAGTGATAAATGGAAAAAAGTTTAAAGAAGAGGACAGAAAACCCACTCTCTTTAACAGGAAGAAGTTTGTGGTTACTACCATTGTGGTTAATTATAATTTCTTTTCATTCTTTATTTTTATAAACAAATAAAAATCACATGCATCTAAAAAAAGCAAAACAAATCAAAATACTTGGGGTTTTTTTCCTTAGCTAATTATTTACTGTTTATTTTTTTTACCTCTGTTATTTAAATAAGATGCTGTTCCTCTTTCACAGGTGACTTTGGGCAAAGTCTGAGCCCGAGAAAAACTTTCCAGGGCCCTTTAAAGAGSCTGTGCCTGCAGCAGTTGCTGTGGTTTGTGCTGTGCACTGCTGGGAGCATCCAGCTGAGCCCCAGCAGGGCTGGTGGAGAGCTTTGCTCTTGTCTGTTTAATCAAGATTGAGTCTTTAGGGACGGGGATGCATGGMGGGGTTATCTCTCCAATGTGTGTCATACTAAACTACTTCCTAAGGAGCCATTGATTTTCCTTAAGCAGCGCTCCCTATTGTACATGTTCTAATTAAAAATTGATAGTGAAATAGCATGTAGTATTTTGAGCCTAATTAGCTAATGAGCTTCAAACACTTTGAGGTCCTCTCAGGGAAAGAAATGCTACCTAAGGATGAAGTATGGCTCGCTGAAGATGACAGATTCTGTAGAGATGGGGTTTTTATTGACCCACACTGTGTCAAACAGTAACAGAAGAGTCTGCCAGCAAACACAGGGAGTTGGAAACACAGCAAAAAACACCACCACAGCTCAGGTGATTAAAGGTAAAATGGAAAGTCCTTGATTTATGGTTAGATAATATATTCTTTAGGAGCAGGRGTTTCTCTGATATTCTCTCATAAACCTTATATGTTCTTCACCTTTTTCCTGCTGGTTTTGCACTGCAGAGTGCAGTTTTACTGCTCTAGCCCATCATCAGTTCACTGGCCACAAATGKTTTTTAGGGGGCACTTGAACTGCATGTTCAGTACAATAATGGGTATCCCACAATGCTGCAGATATATTTGAGTATTTTAAATTCACACCAGCTACTGGGAAATAGCTGTAGAAGAAATATAGAAAAAAATTCTCCAAGACAATGCCTATAAATAATTATATATTTTATAGAAAAATGCTTTGTGATCTGGATTTTTTAGAAGTCTTTATAGTGTGTATTGGTGCTATTTCACAGATTGCACACAAAACCTTGTGTGCATGTGAGATGTGCATTCACTATTAATGACTTGAGCTTTTCAGTACATTTCTCAGCCATTAACTCTGTGTAACATACTTCTCTTTAGTCACTGAGTCTTGCTGTTTGTCTGCCTGTGTTTACAATTGGTGTCTTAAGAATTCTTTAAAACAGAATTAATCTTATCATTATTTTATGTGGGTTTTTTTATCTTTTTGTTTTAAGTGGTTTTTTTTCCCCTCTTCTTGTAGAGAATTATTAAATTAAATTACTTTTTCAAAACTATATAGGGAACTACTGACAGGACTCAAAAGGAAACTTGAGAACTTCAAATGCTAAACTTAACTTCAGATGTTGATTTWTTCCATGTGCTTGTACAAAATGCATTTTTAACTTCTGACAATAGAATGGTATATCTTTAAGCCTTCCCATCCTGCCCAGGAAAAGGTTTTAGATTTTCATAAATCAGAATGGTTTGACAGAAGGGATCTTCAGGTCTGAGTGGAGAAAAGCTGCTCACCGTGGTGAATAGAACTTGGAAACCGCGGCCAAGATGAGGGAGCCAAAGAAGCAACAGAGAGAAATGTCTGGGGTACACATATGCACACACAAATGTACATTTGTAGAACAATTTGCATTAGTTTGTTAATAATGAAAATAATAATTAATTAATAGCTTGCTAGACAACACCATTCCAGACACAAGGGAGGGATTTTGTTGGCCATAGTAAACTTAAATACAATGTCATGGCCAAGCCCAAGAGCAAATGCTGTGTCACGGAGCAAACTCTTCTATCTAGGTGAGTCTCACACTGTGTTAACTGATCTGTATTACTGAAAAAGGGCAAAATTCAGGTTCAGGGGTAGAAACCCAAAAACAAGGATAACCTGTAAGTGAAATGGGATTGTTAACTCAATTTTGATCTCTTTTTATCAGACATGGATATGTTCAGAGTGTTTTCATTAAGTTTCAGTCGCCATGGCTTATTGCATGCCAAACTCCTACGCTGTCAAGTCTAGATGACGATTATGGAATATGTCAGCTACATATTTTAACTGGATTTTCAGTCACAGTGAAAAAAAAAAAAAAAAAAAGCCCAAGAGGAGCTAATAAAAGGGGAGACTCAACGCACAAGACATTTGAAGAAGTAAACAGCATCACTGCCTTGCCTGTCTTCCTTCTTGGGCTCTGACTCTTTTTCTTACCTTTCCTTCTCCTGCAGGCAAGATGTGGCTGATGTTAACAATCCTGCTGCGAATGGCAGTGGTGGTGTTAGCAGGTTACCCCCTCTACCAGGACGAGCAGGAGCGTTTTGTCTGCAACACCCTGCAGCCCGGCTGCTCCAACGTTTGCTATGACCTGTTCTCTCCTGTGTCTCACTTCAGATTCTGGCTCATTCACACCGTGTCTGTCCTGCTGCCCTATGCTGCCTTCAGCATCTATGTTTTGCACCAGGTGGCCGCGYACATTGTACGGATGCACTGCCTGGTGCACGGGGGCAAAGGAACCAAGGCTTTGTCGAGCCCTAAAGATGTGAAGGAGCTCTGTGCAAGTGCTGCTGGCAATAGATTAAATTGTGGTGCAGGCAATCTAAGTGTCCTTAATTTTTCTGGGGCATATACCCTCCATCTTTTCATTAGGACCCTACTTGAGGTCACCTTTGTGGCTGTGCAATATTTTCTTTTCGGATTTTTTGTTCCCGACCGCTTTTCCTGCTACCACTCACCCTGCACGAGCACCGTGGACTGTTACATCTCCCGGCCCACGGAGAAATCCATCATGATGATTTTCRTCTGGGGGGTCAGCACTCTGTCCTTCCTGCTCAGCCTTGCTGATCTCGTCTGTGCTCTCCGGAGAATGATGGCAAGGAAGCAGAAGAAGGAGCTGCTGCCAAASCTGTGCACAGAGAAGGAGTGCATTTTGCATCTTCCCCCTGAGCAGCACAGCTCTTCTCCACCTCAAAATGAAGATGGTGCAGTAGCAAACAGCTGTCAGACCAGTGATGGCTCCTGCTCACTTCTCTCTGAAGAGGAAGGAGAGGCTGTTCTTCATCCTGAGGGTGTCCCTCAGCCAAGTGCCAGCACTGACCTCAGCAGCAGCAGCAAATGCTGTGTGTCAGGAGATCTCACTGCCAAACAGCACAGCTTTGAGGAGCCCTTGGGTGCCACTGACCASCCAGGAACTCCCTGCAGGCAAGTGAGCTCCAGACTCCAGCAAGACTTCAGTAAAGACACTGCCCTGGCTTTGAGACCTCAGAATAAGTCTCCCCTTGGAGTTTCTTCCTCTATGGTTCAGAACAAGCTTTTAGGATTCTACGCTTCAGCTGAGATTAAAAGCCCTGATGCACAATCCAATTATAGCAGCACTAGTTGCCTGAGGTCAAAAAAGTCAGAATGGGTATAGAAGGCAGAGWGAGCACTACCCTGTGACCTTGACAGGGCAAATCATTGCATCACTGGAGAGGCTTTGGGCAGCTCCAGCTGARTCCTTTACCTGTGGTTATGCTGCAGAGACACTCTGCCATGCTGACCTCCATTAGAAAGGAGCAAAAACTTTGGAWGAGAGTTTGAAGGATGTTGCATTAAGGGACATGTTCTTCCGAAAATGTGACATCTTTATATTTCTCTGAGTGTGGATGACTTAAAAAAGCTGTGGACTSTCACTGATGTGACTGGCCTGGTTTTCCAGGAGTATGTGTGAACAGCTGTTTGCTCTAATCTAGTTTTATTGCCAAAGATTGAGCTTAGGAAAGATATGACTTTTAAACACTGTTGTGTATTGTCTACTGTCAGAAGCTTATTTATCCCCTCACACTAAATTYCTAAAGCCCACAGGATATTCAAGAAGAAGACTAGACAAAGTGTTAATGTGTAAAAATCCATGGATTTATTGCTTGCAGGTGATGCCTCTTCCAGCTAGCAATGCCAGGGCAGTACCTTTGTCTGACACTGATGTCAGCTCCAATATGTGAGATATTGGAGAGATATTGAAATATTGAGAGATATGAGAGATATTGGAGAGATAGTCTGAGATATTCAACTACYGCACCTTCCAGTACCCAGAGAGGCTGCAGAAAAMCCAGAGAGGGACTTTTTACAAGGGCATGTAGTGATAGGACAAGGAGGAATGGCTTCAAATTCAAGGAGGTTTAGATTAGATACCAGGAAGAAATTCTCTCCTTGAGGATGGTGAGGCAGTGACAGAGACTGCCCAGAGAAGTTGTGGATGCCCCATCCATGGGGGTGTTCAGGGTCAGGATGGGGCTTTGAGCAGTCTGATTTAGTGGGAAGTGCCTCTGCCTATGGCAGGGGGTTGGAACTAAARGACCTYTGAGGTCCCTTCCAACCCAAACCATYCYATACTCCATGAACTACAACAGCCTCCAGAACAGAGTGGCTGCATCCACATTAGCAGTGGGGCAGGGTGCTGTGCTCAAGAGCTCCTCAGATGAGGAGGTGTGAGCCWGAAGGGTGTCAGGGAGTGCTGCAGCCGCTGACAGGGACAGCAGCAGTGCCCATGCCCTGGCTCCATGGGCTTGCCCTGGTGTGGATGTGCTGCTGACACGGCTGCAGGGTGTTMCCTTGACAGTCACGCTGGGCTCTCAGTTTCAGGAGGTGGGAATGAGCCACCTGACCTGTTTTAAGTATCTCTAAAGGTAAGGTGAGTCACTTTCTGGATAGATCTATTTCTCCCACTATGTCATTATCTCAGACCTGAGTTCAGGGAAAATGGTTTCTACCCTGCAAGAAGGATATATTGGCAATGTCTGTATCAAAGTGCTCRCCCTCTTTGTCTGACACATTTCTAATGCTAATAATTTGAAAACATCTCTAAATGGAGTGAATCACAGATTTTATTWCAGTCATGCTTTGTGCTTTCCTTCAGCGTTAATTCTGTCGCATTTGCATAAGCGTGGTCCAGCACTGCAGCGCAGCAGTGTGTGAGATGAATTTTCTTTTAGCTACAAKTCAGTGGGGGTTGAAGGTTGCACATACCTGCAGGTCATCAGTGGGAGTGGATGTGGAGGAGCATGTACCCAGAGAAATGTGCTGGTGGTAGTGTCTCATAAAGCAGATTATTCAGAGGATGTTAAGARCTGTATTTGTAGGCACTGCTTGGAGCTGGAGTAGCTGTGATGCTGTTCAGACCTGGCACAGCTCTGGCCTTGCTCTTGGGCTGCCAAGTTTCTGTAATAACTCAAGGTCTGGCTCCTTTGTGCAGGACATGAAGGAACAAAGCTTACACATCCTTCCTTTTCTCTCCTATGGGTGCAGAAGTCTTCAAGACAATTAAACTCACTACCTCTGTGTATCATTTCTCTCATGTGTAAGGTAAAGACTGGCAATTATCCCTTTTCTTTTGTATTGCCCCCAAATTAGGTGGCTTAAAAGATAGTCTGAACAGAGACTTGGGGTCAGGAGCAAAGTACTTTGGGATCCTGAGGTAGGCTGCAGGCATCTKTAATTACTACCTTCTAAGCAAGGTTTTCCTCTCTATTAGCCCTGTTTGTTTCTTTTATCATGCATGCTTTTTGTGTGATTTGTCATTTCCAGGGTGGAAGCAGCATTAATTATTAAACYTATCATAGGCAGAAAAACATTAAATATTTAAACTTCTCGTCCTCCAAWGCCTCTTTAATGGGGTCGGTGCTGATTACACATGCCATGACAAAACATTGCAACAATGAAACGTTTTATGATTCATTGCATCTTCTCAGCGGTGAGGAGGAATGCAAGGAACAAATGTGGATTCAGCCTATTGCATGCATCCCACAGTGTGAGATATAAATAGGATAGGATAAATAATAAATGCRTTGTGGCTGGACACAGTTTGGGGATTTTGTCTCTGGTTAGACATTTTTTTAATGACCTGAGAGTCTCATTTCAAATCAGAAGGATGCTGTTTGTGTTTGAAATGGAAAGTGAAATTAGTGGATGTCCTCCTTTGCCTGCAGATCCTTCTTGTGAGATTGTGGCCTTTGGGTTGTGTTGCWCCTCTGCAAACTTGGCTGATTTTGGGACTTGTGGACCCATTGACACAATTGAGAGTCAGAGAAATAAGCACTTAATGTGCTTATAAAAACTGCGTATTACAAGAGAAAAAAATTGGTATGGGATTTTCCCTGGGGAGCRGATAGAAACCTCTGGCATCAGCCACCTGCTCCCAGAGGATGACTCAGAGTCTTCTACTGCTGTTTCTCCAAGTCACATTTATTAATTAGAGAGACTGCATGGATTTGCCAGCAAAGGGAGACCAAGGAAAGGAGTGCAAAGTGGGGCTGAACTTTTGTGAACTCCTAGAGCTCAAAGAAATTCTAAGCAACAATTGGGAGGGGCATCCACAGTAGGGAGGAGAAAACAGCAAAAAACATCTGTTTGAAAAAACAGAGGATCACCTCTAATTTGTCCTTGTGCTAATATCACTGAATGTGAAAATGTCCTAGACATGTCTAGATGTCTTAGAGTGAGCAAAAGAACTAATAGATGTGAAGAAAGGAAGCAACAAGATTTTCTGCTGTTCAAACAAAGATTTAGTCCTTTAAACTCATGAATTGGTTTCATAAGTTCTCCCAGAAATTATTATATACTCAGAAAAACATTACAAAAGATGCTTATGTTTACCAATGTGTCTTGAAATAATTTCTTAAGCCATCTACTTCAGAAAAGCATTTTGAAGATGGATTGAAAGCACAATAATCCTAAAGCTGCCCTSAGGAATCTTTGTCTTGTGCTCAAAGTGCAGGTGTCACTTGCACCCTGAGGTGGGTTTTTGGAACAATATATAAGATATCCAGATTTCTCATCCACTCTCACTGACCATGAGACTATCCAGAAAGGAACTGAGATCCCTGGAAATAAAGARTTGGAACTGATCATAAAATCTATGACAAAATTGTTGTCACATAAGAAATAATTTTTTTTTTTTTTAAATTATAAAATGTCTTTAAAATGTTGTTTTCTTAGTATCTTCAACTGGATCRTGGCACTTCTCTTGCTAAGTAAGTATCTAGTAGGCTGCTAGAGACCCAGAATTTTCATGTTTTTTATGCAGCAAAATCAAGTATCACTGGGAGTTTTTGCAGGGTAAGCATGATTGAAAGAAAAAAGAATCTATTTTGTTACCCCTAACTAAAATAGATTTWAATGTTTTTCTGAACAATTTTTWAAAAAMTTCTTTTGTTTTGTTTTGGAATATATATTTTCAATACCCAARTAAAAATCAAACTAGTTTAGAAGCCAAGTTTCAGTGAGTTATAATCACTTTACCCTCTTTTTGCACTCTCAAGGYTGGGTCACTTTGATTTGCTCTCATCAGCATAACAGAAAGCTGTGACTCTCTCTTCTCTTGTGAAAGACACTTAAGACAGGTGTCYAGGGAATGCATTATTTCCTGTCAGCAGCAGTTGTTCTCCATGAATATCTCAGTTCAGCCCAAAATAAGTATTAAATCTGAAGTCAGCAATGTAGAGACACCCTCARTGTATCCTTTCAAGTTATTATCTGCCCTTACATGATACATCATTATTTCAATTATTARCTTTCTAGAAGAAATCCTTAAAAGTATATTAATTAGACATTATTTCATTGCAATGTCATTATTACAATGGAGAACAGACAAATTGTTACTGCTTGTAGTATTTTAAGATAATGAAGAACTGCATCTCAGAAAATAGGAGTAGAGTAGTTGAAAAGGCTGTTCTTTAACTTCTGTCTTTTGGACTACTTTTAATAGCCTGATGTTCAACTGACAGRAAAGTAATTTTACAACATAATGTCTTACATTGTAATTGAGTTTCTAAAATGTTCTACAGATTAAATGTTCTCTGTTCACTCACASYGTGAACTCTTGGCCTGTGACACCCRACTGAAAAATGAGTTCACTAAGGCAGAAGTTCAGTCAGAATGCATCAACTGYGTCTCTATGCTAAAATTATCCATTGTCCCTGTAGATAGATTACAATTGCAATCTGCTTCACTAGCTTTTGATTTCTCCCACTTTACTCTGTGTTTCCTTCCATTTGCTTTGGCAGGCAGGATGTCCCAGGCCATCTCCACAGCTGTAATTTATTTATGGGACTGCACATGCAGTGCTAAGCCCAAGGACTGTTTTATGATCCTGTGCTGTGTTCACACCATGGGAATGCCAGGAGATAGAGAGCAGTCTCTAGTTCTGTGCCTGCAGGTAACACTTTGGGCTGGGTGCTGGATTAGCTTAGAAAAGCTTTCACCAATGAACAATTTACTGAGTGAGGTTGATGGCACATTTTAAGCTTGTTGTTARAAACTGAGGTTTATATATGGTGCCCTCAAGTACAATGGGGGATTTKGGGTCAGCAATCAGAAGCAATTTCCTTCATTTCTGGCTTTCCTATGTGAGAAACATCTATTTTGCCAGTGAGACTTTAGGCACCGCAGCATTTTGTCACTGAAAATGTTACTTTCAGCAGAGAAATAACAATCATGGAATTAAACAGAAGATTTTGACCTAGCAGCATCAAATTCTGCATTTTYCCCTGTGGTGTCTTGCTTTTTCCTTGCACTGAAAATAGGCAATATATATATATATATATTTAAGAGAAACCAGGATAAGTTGCTTTTAGAGTCCCACTTGTCCTGACAAATTAAGACACCCACTTAGACACCCAC